AGGGCAAGAAATAGACTATATCTTAAAATGGACGGTTCCCACTTAGTAAAAACAGCCAACACCACGTGGAGGTGAGGAACCATCGTTAGCCACTTTTTTTTTCTTCTTCTTTTCTTTACTTTTCTGAAAAAAATTTACTGAAATGTTAGTTGCGTCCCCTAAAAGGATACACGGAGAAAAAAAATTGTGCATGGAACCCGAAGCTGAGATCATATGGATCTCTGAAGTTTTCGGATCACGCATCCGAAAAGTTAAGGTCCATCTGCCGAAGTTCGGGTCAGACAATTGAAGTAGTTCGGTATATACCGAAGGTTTCAGGTCACACATCTGAAGTACTCGGTGCATACCGAAGTGCTTCAGATTTCTGACTCGGATATTTAGGAAAAATACAGTAGAGAACCAAGGAAATCACAGTAGAACAGAGAAAAAAATACAGTCGAATAAATAAAGAAAACTATTATCGAAGAAATTCTAATTATTAGAAAGTAATTAGCTGGCGTAATCAATGCGTAGCTGCATAGGAGCATGAGCGAGATTTATCATCAACTGACCGCTGGCCGCTAGGTACCTGGGTGGGCGAGCGACAATACGTAAGCGGTGGCATATGGTTCGATTGACAGAGGAGTGGGGAACGGTCAGACGTAGGGGAAAGGTTCAGGCTGAACCGTTCAGCACAGCGCAGCGTCAGTCACCGGGTGGGGAAGAGAGTCCGGGAGGGGACACTTCCCCTCGAGTGAAATAGAAAAAGGCAGAATCCTTCGAAGTTTATATTAATGATGTAAATATACACCAATTTCACTCAGTTGAAGTGGCAACCAAGTGACTCCATGCTGTTGTTGGCAGAAACTTATTAAGTTGCGGATCCTTGCTCTTGTATTTTTATGATTTTAATAATTCTGTTTAAATGTGACTTTTGAGTTCTATAAATGTATCTCTCCCATAATAAAAGAATGTCATGAGGTCATAGAATACAGCTTATCATTAATTAACAAATGCAATTTTCTGCAATATTGTCTGAGCAGGGCCTAACAAAAGAAAACCAAGTGACATGCTCTTGGAACAGTGAAAAATGCGTTTGAAATTTTACTCAACATAAGAAACTAATTTTAAGTAAAATTTTTGCATGCCAAATATTTTTGCAGTTAATAAATTTTTGATTGGACAAATATGCTCTTTAACAAGATTAAAACTTTCTCAAACTCAATTTGTGAAAGAAGTCACTTGGTTCCCTTTTAAGGTAAGAGTACAAGCAGGAATTTTTTAGAGAAGCGTTTGAAAGTGCAGAAGTCTCAATCGTAGGAATTTTGAAATAAAAGTCTTCTTTCTTCCACAGGGTACATCACGGCCAACCAAATATCATAGACTCTGGGACGACAATAACATCTCTGAGGATGAATTGGAAGTCTTGACCTACTATCTGTGTTACCTCTTTTCACGTTGTACTCGATCTGTGTCGTATCCTGCGCCAACTTACTATGCTCACTTGGCAGCTTTTAGAGCTCGAACTTATCTAGAGAAGTATGTTGTCTCTTTTACTAAATCTACCTTTATACCCCTGTTCCTTGACTTTCATGTTTTTACATACTCCGTGTCAACTGCATCAACATGTTAAAGTATAAGGGGGCAGTGGCAAGGAATTTTTGCAGGGTTGTAGAACAATTTCCCTCATATAAAATCTCATGAAACGACCAAATAGTTCACAAAATATCAAAAAATCATTTTTAAGGGGAGAAGAAGTTAATGGAAATCCGACCGATCAAACGCTGAGTCCAGCCAATCAGAAAATGTCAGCTACATCATCAAAGCCTGCCAAAAATATTGTTTCTAACAGGTCCCATTTTTGATGTTTTCAAAATGGAGTTTCCTTGCCATTTAGGGTTACAAAATTCTGAACAAAGTCTTAGAACTTACTTTCCTTCTTTTTCGCCCGATGAATATTTCGGTTGTCACTATTTAAACGATGGCCATTTCGGCTTCAGTGGAAGCCATCATCAGGTAAATTACCTGATCGTGGCCATCGTTTAAATAGTGACAACCAAAATATTCATCGGGCGAAAAAGAAAGAAAGTAAGTGACCCTAGTTCCCGACAGAGAAAACAAAGGAGTAGTAAATTCTTCGAAGCTTAGTTCACTCCGTACTTTCAGAAAATGAATGAAAAAAGTGGGTGCCACTGACTCATTCTGCCGTGCTAAGGGAAAACTCCGTATGAACCTTCAGGCATTGCCAAATTTTCTTCGGTAAATCACCAATTTTCAGGAAAATTTGCAAAAATTTCCCTGTCAATTTTTCCGATAATTTTTTTCTCAATTTCACCTGAAGTTCCTGAAAATTTTAAGGAGAAATATTCATAACTTTCTTCAAAAATAACGATTTTCTGAGAGGAAATTTGGCAACTCTTGAATGTTCATACGGCATTTTTCCTTAGCACGGCAGCTTTGCCCAGCCAGGCCCATAAAACGAAAAGGAAATTGGTGAAACTGGAATACTTCAAACTATAATTTCGGCCAATCATGGTGGCCCTAGTGCTGTCCACTGGTTATGTGCGTAACTAGTACTCAACAGTTAGTTCCAAGGAGGACCCGCTGAAACCTAAAGCTTCCGTGACACAATAATGCAATGAAGTTGTGCCGTTCAAAATGCTGGTCTTTGTGAGTGTTTTGACTCGGCGTGAACAGCAGAAAATAAGGTTATAACCAGCTTCGCAGTGAACATGTTAAACAAGAAGTGCTTGTTCTCACTCTCTTTTTCAAGCCGTTTTTTTAAATGAATGACAAGGAAAATTGGTGGTGCAGCCATCTATTTGGCCTGATGATGCATGTTCCGTCCTATACTCGCATTGTCTTTCCATGGCGCTTAATTTCGTTTGACAGAACGCGCTATCCGGGACTCTAAAATCCTCAAAAGGAACCGAAATTGGCTTTTAGTTCCGTTTAACAAAAGTACATCCAATTGTCACATCACAACTATTGATTGTCCAATAATCATGCGCTTTTTCTGATTGCAGCAACCCGGCCCCCTTGAATAACTTGGAAGGATTTGCATCCAAAAACAAGATCGAGCCAGTTTTCATGAAAAATACCCCAATGTTCTTTGTTTAGACATATACCTGCCTCTTTTGTATCACTCTTCAAGACCTTAATGAGTATCAAATCAAAGGCATATTTGAGTTATATTTTAGTTTAAGGGTTTTTGAATCATGATTTGGATCAAATCACCAAATCGTTTATCACATATTGAAAAATTAAATTTTTTTAGCACAGGTTTTCATTACCTCAAAATCAACAGTTGTTTTCTGATTATTTTGAAGGCTAGTGATCCTAATATTTTGGTTTCTAATAATGTTGTTTTTTCTTTTTTTCTTTTTGATTTGAAGTGTTTGAAGACATTTCAGCGAAGATTTATTATACTTGTTTTCGTGCCAGAAAATGAGAACTCATAGCTGTTTATAATTTGTACGTTATTCGTTCTTTTCTTTGAGATAGTTCTAAGTATGGTTTTTGCAGTGATTTCTTTAACGTTTAAGCTTCCCTGAGCCATCAAAAATACTCAGACAAAGGAAACCTTAAAGTTGAAGGGGCATCTGTGAATTCAGCTCCTAGAGGTAATTTTTCGTGCATCATGTACTCGAAGAAAAGATGTACTTGAGATGAAATTAATAAGCAGAATTTAGTCCTATCTATCTCTCTAAAAAGGAATGACAATTTACAATATTTCACTCATTATAATCCAGCTTTTTCGCTTATTTACATATTATATTTTATATATTTTGTTCAACAATGTTTGACTCTTTAATTATATTCTTATTGAATTTATAAATCTCATCAGTTTTCTCTTCCTCTTTTTTTCATTTTTTTCCTTTGCTTTTTTTTAATGAAAAGATCCCTTTAGAAGGTATAATCTAGGAATGGTGTAGAGAGTTTTTGTTCTGAAGAAGTAAAATATGAAGATGGTAACCATCTTCTCAATGATTTTTGTCAGATTTTCTAACTATGCTAGAATTTAGTCAATATATTATAATGATTGCTATCTAAGTTTCTGAAATCACTTTCAGTAGGCACCTACAAGAGTAAAGCAATAATATGTAGAAGGGGTACCGGGAAGTAAAATAAAAAGAAATATGTTTGCTCTTTAATTTGGACTCCAACAGTAACGCAATTTTGATGCATTTTGTACGAAGTGAAGAAATAGCAACAAAAAATTGTTTTCTGAATGAATATACAAAATAGAAAGTTGTATATAACTTTCGTAATAGAACTTTTTACTCACCCTCCCTTTGTCCTTCTGTTAGGTCTTGTTTCATTGGTATGCTTACTTTTACATAATCAATTGTCATAAGGTGTCACGTTGAGAATCTACAATCAATTACAACTTCTTAAGACAGAAAAATTATGGCATAATAAACGAACCCATTCCCGCAAATAAAAATAATAACATTGTATAGGTATCTAGATTACATATCCAATGGTAGTGGATTTTCCTGTTGTAGTCCCAGGAACAATTCTTGCAACTATCTATAAAAACGCTCTCACTGCAAACGATTCTTTAGAAATAACAAAATGTCACAGCATCACATTCACAAAAAGACGTCAGTGGAACGTGACATGTTCAGTTGTTTTTCACGCGGATCCCATGAAACATCGATACAACGACAAGGATTGACAGTATTGACAATGCCTCCTTCCTTCATGCAACTATTCGTCCACCTTCGTTGACCGAATTGCATACTTGAAAAGATGAAGGCGCATCGCCTTTCCGCGCGTTAGTTCCAGGCCCATTGCGCTGGATACTACTTTATTTGCCCCGAGCGCCAGTAGGGCGCCCGAGCGCCGTAAGAGGTGATTTTCTGCTGGCGTTATTTGCGGCAGAGCACTAAACTTGAAAAAATACTCGAATAAAAAAAAAGTATCAAAATTCTTCCGTGAAAAGCTAATCAAATGGTTCGAGGGGACCGGAATCAGAAGATGAGGAAATTAAAAGAATAAATAGCTGACACCGGTGTCAGACGAGAGTGTCAATCAGTTGAAGACGTTATTTTGAAGGAGAGGAAGAAAGACCTCATCTAAAACTAAGACACAGGTACATATATTTTAAAAAAACACGTACTTGCACCGCTTAGCGAACTCGCGTCTCGTCTTGAAGACTGTCGAATTTTAACCAAAGTCGGTAGGAAGGGACCAAAACACATCAAAGTATGAATCTAGCAAGAGAGGTTGGAAGTTACATCTCTCTCTAGGGACCGTTTATCCATTACGTCACGCACTATGCTGCCGTGTTAAGGAAGAACGCCGTATGAACATTCGAGAGTTGCCAAATTTCCCTCGATAAATCGTTCATTTTTGAGGAAAGTTATGAATATTTTTCCTTAAAAGTTTCAGGAACTTTAGGTGAAACTGCGTACAAAATTATCTGATAAATGGAAAGGAAAACATTTATAATTTTACCGGGAAATTTGTGTTTTAGAAAAGGAAATTTGGCAATGCCTGTAGGTTCATACAGCGTTTTTCCTTAAAGCGGTGAGAATGAGCGTCGCGCGATAAATATATTTTTTTTCTTCAAGGAAAGAGTGCTTGCTTTTGGTAAAGATATTGAAAATGAATGTCGACTTCGGGAGGGAGAGGCGGGGTTTCGAGGATAGTGTGACATAAATTTCTAAGGGATAATAAATACAACCCTTTGTGACTTCCCTGGTAAAAATTGGCGATAGGAGCTGCGTTTCAAAATACAATAGGAATTCTTATAGCCGGCTAAAGAAGGCTACAAAAAATCAAATACTCAGCTGGCTGTGGAATGCGGAGAAAATCATACGGCCGGGCTGTACGAAGCGATAAAAAATTATGCAGCCGCGCTATAGTTCCTATAGCCGGGCTTTACATTTTATCGCCTGGCTGTTGCTTTTTCGCCATCGATTATAAAAGGCTATGAAAAGTTGTATAGAAATTCGTGTGCTTTGGAAATCATTAAGTTTGATCCGGAACCACCTTAATATTTACAAAACACACGTTATATTTTCCTTCAATACATATTGTTTTTCATCAATTAAAACGAGAATAATCCATACAGGATGTGCAAACATTTCAAAATCATGATTTGAATAACGCTGACTCCGCCAGATTGAATATTAGAGCCTAACACAAGGCGGAGCGGCGACGCACTGGCGCCTACAAACCTAACAAGGATACTTCACGCATCGCGTGAAGTATCCCTGTTAGGTTTGTAGGCGCCAATGCGCGTTTCGCGCTGGGTGTCCGCCCGCCAACCCGCAGCGTGCCACGGCGCTTGATGCAACTATTTCACACTGCCAATTTTTACCAGGGTTTGACTTCTGAAGTATCAGCACAGGTTGCATTAGATTGCAATTACTCATGTGATAAAATTATTGGTATTGTATCGAAGTGTTGTGTATGTTGTTTCCTAACTAATTGAAGGGGCTCCTCTAATTGAAATTTTGCAATAAAATTGGAATAAGTTCATTGGCGGATCCAGCAAATTGGCAACATCGCCTTTTCTCCATTTAAACCTACGGAGATGTATCGATTCTTGGAGGGGCCAGGTGCCGCGACGAGAATCGATTATTTAGCATAGATTTAAATGGAGGCAATCTGGTGTTGCCAAATTTCTGAATCCGCTTCTGAATAAGTAATTGCCATTGCACTTCCCAAGTAGCATTTTTCAAAGGAAAAATCGCGATATAATGCAATTTTATCGGCAATAAAATTGCTAGGATCATCTACATCTGAACGATTGTCTTCGACCTTATCGGGATAAAATCACGATTTTATCGCCGGCAATTAATCGCGATACTCTCGAAATAAGAATCGCGATAAATGGCGATTAAATCTCGATTTTATTGACGAAAATTGATCGCGATTTTATCGAAAAAAAAAATTGCGGTGTGTAGCGATTTAATTGCCATGTATCGCAATTTTTAATGCGATAATATGTCAATATATTGGCACCAATATAATCGCGATAACCAACCGATAAAATCGCTATTCATCGCGATCACTGCTACTTGGGTTTAGGTCTAATCACTCTGTTCTGGTTCAAAGGCTGTATCAAATTCAAACTCTCTGGGAAGAATTACCTAATCCTAAAAAAACGGTCCAGTTTTTTTACTATATTCTCTGAAAGTTACAGTGACGACCCTTCTAAACCCAGGTGCTTTACTTTAATTAAGGGGTCTGGAGAACGCAAGGCACACAACTACATTTTTTTAAAAACCTTATAGGTATTCATGATTTCAAATAAAAAGAGAATCTTTCAATTTAATCGATAAAAAATCGACTCCTGAAGTTCAATTTTTAAACATCGAAATGCGCGCTTAAACATTCTTTTCTTCGTGAAGCTCCTTTTAATTTCGAAACTTCGAACACGTATTTCTCGAAATAGCAGAAACTGCACTTCTGCGCCTTATCCCTCTGGCCCCTCAATTAAGATTTTTTGGGACCAAGGTCCTTTTTCCCGTGGATGGTGCCCATTAGCACAGCGCAACGAAAACATTGAAATGGAATTGCAATTTGATTTTAATATATTTTTAATTTTTTTACCATTAAATTGCAATATTTTTACATAATAAATTATAGTCGACAATGTGTCGATTTTAAACAATTAACAAAATGAGCTCCATGTATCAGAAAGATAACTAGGCAACATGCGATGCAATGAGAAATTGCAACTTATTTCAATAAGTTTTAATGAATTAGGCCCCTTCAAATAGGAGCTAAGCAACACACACAACACTCAGTGGAATTGCAATATTTTCACTGTGTAATTGCTACTTATTGCAATCTGTGCCACTTGGGTGGCAGGGACGTGCCCAAGTAGCACAGTGCAACGAAAACATGGAAATTAAATTGCAATTTGATTTCAATACTATTGTAATTTTTTTTTTTACCATTAAATTGCAATATTTTCACATCATTCAGTCGATTTATGCCAATTTTAAACAACCAACAAAATGAGCTCCAAAGATAGGCAATATGCAATGCAATGAAAAATCGCAACTTATTTCAATTTTATTGTAATAAGTTTTAATGAATGGAGCCCCTTCTAATGAGGACCAAGCAACACTCAGTGGAATTGCAATATTGTCACCATGTAATTGCTACTTTTAGCATTCTGTTCCACTGAATTATAGAGGGTCGCGCCAGCTTAAAAATTTCGAAATGACGAGGGGAGAAAAATACATTGATTTTCTTCGAATTATCGAGAGATTTTCAAGGGAAACAGTGCTTCCTTCGAATTAACGAGGTTTTCGAATTATCGAGGTTCGAATTATCGAGAGTCCACTGAACTTAGGCGGTGCTCGATTCAAAGCATCCGATGAAAATTGCGTGAGCAATCGGCTATCACCGGATCTCGGGCTCTACGCCCCCGCAGCATGACGCGGGCGCGCGGGAAGAAGGGGCGAGATCCGCGAGGGCGGCGGATGACGTCACCCAGGTGCAAGGCGGCCGTTGCCTCATCGGCCACGCCGCGCTCTCCGAAGGGATGACGGGAATGCTTCAGGGAGCGGGAGCACCGGGACCGGGATGTATCGATCAGCTGTGAGGCAGTGGAACGAGGAGGGACAGTGTTGTTGGCTCGCGCGTCCGGACTCCGGTGCAGGAGCCGGATTCCCCTGCCATGGGGCCGGTGACTAGCCGTCGCGAAACTCCCCCGCAGAACAGGATTTTTCAAATGGTAAGTCCGCTCAAATTACGACCCTAAGTCTTCCTCCCAGCTCCTGAAATGCCTAGTTATCCCCCACAGCATCCGACTGTCCTCCTCGCCCCCTAGGACGCACTCACGAATTGGCGCGATGGCGTTTTTCGACCGAGGA